CTTGGAAAGATGAGGGCACAGCAAAGGAGAGGAAGACCCTCAACCAGGTGGATTAACACAGTGGCTGCAGCGAGGGGTCCAAGTGTGTCAGAGTGTGAGGCTGGCACAGGATAGGACAGGATTCAGATCTGTTGTTCATATGGTCATGAACTTGACAGCACCTAACACCAGTTATTTGATTATAAGTTTTAGCTATTAGATATAGCTGACTATTAGAAGATTTCGTTAAAAGAAATGAACTTGGGTGGTGGGAGGGGTGTGGGGGGATTGTATATCAAAGAAAGAATTTTTCTTTTACTTTTCAAAGAGAGGAGTGAACTGGGGCATGGGGGTCAGGGGAGAGGATCGGGCAGGGAGAAAAGTGCAACAATGAATGAATGGAAATCCAAAATCTCTGTAAATGTTCATTAAAATTATTAAAATAAAAAAAAGGAAAAAAATGAACTTAATGTTCTAGACCAAAATGCAAATAATGGTTGAATGAAAAATGAATTTTCTTTGTAAACTTACTCAAATCTCAACTTTAAAAAAGGAAAACGTTCAACATGAAACAACTTTAAAAATAGGATCTTAAAGTGTCTTGATTCCTGTTCGCAAATTAAAGGAGAGCTGGTGGCGTAGTCCATAACTACAACGAACATACTGGGTAACTCCAACAATTTGAATCCACCAGCTGCTACACAGGAGAAATACGGAGCGTTGCTATGAGTTGGAACCAGCTCAGCAATGTAAACATTGCCATTTTTATTATACTATAGTTTACTCTTTGAACTTATATAAAAAATATTAGTGTCCCTTTTCCCCCTAAGTACAGAAGTAATGCAGCGGGTTAACAGAAAACTTAGAAATTACAGATAAACAAAAAGAAAGGAAATGATTTGAAATCCTAGAGTTTATTTGTTATGTACCATTGAGTTGCCTGCGACTCATAGCAACCCTATGTACCAACAGCCCTGAAACCTGCTCTGTCCTGTGCCAATCTCAGTCTCTGACACACCTATCCCCATTAGTCCAGTGACTGAATCAGTCCATCTCATCGAGTGTCTTCCTCACTTGCGCTGTCCCTCACCTTCCCAAGCATGGCATCCCTCTCAAAGGACTGGTCCCTCGTTGCAAGGTGTCCAAAGTATGTCAGACGAAGCTTCAGAATCCTTGCCTCCAAGGACCAGCCTGGCTTCACCCTCTCCAGAATGAACTTGTTTGTTCTCCTAGCAAGTCCATGATATATTCAGTACTCTTCAACAGCATCACACCTGAAAGGCATCAACTCTTCTTCTATCATCCCTAGTCATTGTTCAGGTCACTGATGCGTAGCAAGTAATTGCAAAGACCATGCCCTGTATCAGGCACACCTTAGTCTCCAGACTGATATTGTTGCTCTTCAGTATTTTGGAGAGGTCTCTGACAGCAGACTTTCCCAATGTAATTCGCCTCTTAAGAAGTCTCAGCTTGCAGTAGCAAGGAGCATGTTGCCTGTCTGGGATGCCTCATGGTTCCAGTATTCATTTGTCCAATTTTACTCTGCTGCTTTCACTAAGAAAAAGAAAATTGAAAAACACCCAATATAAATTCCAGCAAAATTATCATTGCATTTAAGAATGTACCTGTTCTTTTTTTTCTAGTAGTATATAAAAATGGCCGATTTTTCTTCTTAAACACATGCACTTTTTCTTCTATTGTTGCATTTATAATCTAATCTAAGATTAATGGTTCAGATGGTCTACTGGTGAGAAGCTGCACTGCAATCCCAAAGGCATGTGGTTCGAATCCAGCAGCTGTTCCGAAGGAGAAAGATGGGCAGTCTTCTCCCATGTGATTCTGCCTGGGGGTGGGGGGAGGGGAATACTGGAGTGTAAGCTATATGTCCGTTCCTGCTCAATGAGAAACAACAACCACAGTTACTAAAAGGCAGAGATCAACAATGTCCTAAATAGTTGATCTACTGAACCACTGCATCATTTCTGACATCATCTGTTCCTTCTCTGTTCGGTTACCCCTCTCCTCTCTGTCTGTGGGTAGCCTGAAGGTCTCACAGAAACTCGAACCCATCAGGAAAATGACTCGCGTGATTGTGTGCGATGCAGAGACTGGGGAGCTATGGTCCAGTTGCTCCATTGTGTCTCAGTTGGATGGTGTATCCCAGGAGAGTGAGCATCCCACATGAGTGGAAGCTATGAGCTGCTTCCATGAGCTTACAAAGGCTTCCCGTAGGGTGCTGCTTGTATCCCACCCACACCCTAGCTCCTTACTGCAATGGACACTTCATCAGAAAATAAAAAGTTAATCCATGGCTTGTTATCATTGGGTGCTGTTGAGTCAGAACTGACCTCTATAACTGACCCTCTGGCAGGCTTTCAGAGGCAGTAATCACTCAGAAGGAGATTGCCCAGCCTTCTCCATGCAGCCGCTGGTGGATTTGAACCTCATGCCTTTGGGATTGTAGTGCAACTTCTTACCAGTAGACCGCTACAGCTCTTAACTAATGGCTAGGAAAGACATTAGAACAATGCATTTTTTACATCACACTTGTCTGTGTGGCCTAGTGGCAAGAAGCTCTGGTGGCCTAGTAGCAAGAAGCTACACTACAATCCCAGAGGTACGCAGTTCGAATACACCTGATGCTCTGCTGGAGGAGGGGCAATCTCCTCCTGTACCAGTCAGATCCGATTTGACGGTACACACACAGAAAAGAAAAGAGAAAAAAAAAGCAAACCAAAACATCACAACTTGTCTTATTTGATGAATGAAAAGTGATGCCTTATTATTTCAGCTTTTATGTCTTTGATTAATAATGAAGTTATAAAAAAATAATGAAGTTATCAGTGTTTTATATTATGGGCCACCACAGTTTCTTTTATGAACCTCCCATTTACCAGATGTGTGTATGTAACACACTCATACATATAACCCACATAGGAAATTTAAGTAGAAGGAAATTGCATCATGTACAGAACAATAACAACAAAGAAACATGTAAGGTGTGCATTGTTTCTATAACAATGCTTGATGTCCTTTGTCATTTGAATATGAGTGGAATAGATAGATGTACTTGTCTGTGTCTACCTGTTTGACTCAAGAATGACTTTAACTGGCACGTATTTTGCCAGTATTGTCCCAGCTTTATTTGCCTTTCAGTTTTGTACATTGTGTCTTTTTAAAATGCCATTGTTGACATATGAGTGGTGTACAATAATCTGGGCATTTTAAAAGTGCACAGTATTTCTTAATATGTATAATTATATGTATATGTATGTATACATATATGTACTATTATATGTATTATACACGTGTATATATGTATATATAATATATGTGCATATATGTATATATAATATGTATGTATACGCATGTCTATGTAATATGTGCATATATGTATATATTTAAAAGATAATAACCATTTCCATCACTCCTAAAAGCTTTGTCCTCTCTCTTTTTAATTCCCTCCTACCTTTTCTCAGTCCTTGTCCTCAGACAGCCACTAACATACTTTGTCACTTAGACTAATTTGCATCTTGTAGGTGTATATATACTCTTTTTTGTGTGACTTTTTTTCCACTCAGCATAATTATCTTGAGATTCATCCTTATTGTACCATATATCATTATTATTATTGAGTATCATGGAGTCAGAACCAACTGATAGCTGACTGTCCAGCAGTTTTTTAGAGGCAGTAAATCATACTGAAGGAGATTGTCCGTCTTCTTCCATAAAGCAGCTGGTGGATTCAAACCATGTTCCTTGGGGTTGGCAGCACAACTCCTTACAACTAAGCCACCAGAGCTCCCTGATTGTGTATCGATAGTTGGTTTTATTGCTGAGTCACCACTACATGCGTGATCCACAAACTGATTACAAATCCATCTATTAATGGACATTTAGATCATGTCGAGTCGTAACTACTAAAAATAAAGCTTCAGGCTTAACTCTAAAATGTCTAGATATAATACTACCTCAGCAAGACAAAGACAATCAACCAAATTACAAAATTGGCAGGGAACATGAAAAGACACTTCATTCAGATGGCCAACAAAGCAAGAAATGCTCAGGACCACTAGCTATTAGATGTAAATCAGAACAGGAATAAGATATCATCTCATCCCAATGACAGCAGCAACATTTGATAAAACAATAAACATCACGTGCTGGCAGAATTGTGGAGAGATTGGAATGCTCAAGCATTGCTAGAAATGCAAAAGTGTGCAACCATTATGGAATGCAGTGTAGCACTTTTAGAGGTTGAAAAGGGAAATACCATGTGATCCAACAATACTACTCCTAGGTATATATCCTGAAAACATGAGCAGCAACACCAACTGAGGTCCACCTGTGTTCATAGCAACGTGGCTCACAACGGCAAAGAGATGGAAGCAGCTCACACATCCAACAGGCAAAGGGGTAAAGAAACTGGTACATTCATGTGGTAGAAAACAATGCAACCCTGAAAAATAGTAAAAGAATGCTGTAAACCCTGCATAATGTGGGTGTGTCTACAGGCCATTCTGCTGAATGAAATAAGTCAGAACAAAACTGATGTATGACCACCAGTGATAAGAACGGAGAGGCGAATAACAATTAGATAGTTGTTGTAAATAGTAAATATGCATATATTCAGATGAGTGAAGAGAAAGGCAATATACAATAAGGGAATGATCAGCATAATAGCATTAAAGAAAAAAGATACAGTTAATGACCTGTGATATTGAACATCTTTCTGTGTGCTGATGGCATTTGTATGTCTTGGAGAGGCGTCCGTACAGATTTTTTTTTCAACCCATTGTTTTATTTTTTTATCATTACATTACAAAACAGGTATTTCAGTATTAATCTTTTCATGATAATGCCACTAAAAAAAATGCCTTAGGAAAAAGAAAAAGTTCATGACAAAGTTCATTTCTCTACAGGTATTGAAGATTTACAGAAAAGCAAAGAAAGGGAACTGTCAATGAGAGAGAAATCTAACTGGGGTGACAAAAAGGAGAGTGGTCGCTGCATTGGCCATCATGCCTAAAGGGGTGCCCAAGGACCCAGAGATTGCTGACCTGTTCTACAAAGATGACCCCGAAGAACTTTTTATTGGTTTACATGAAATTGGACATGGAAGCTTTGGAGCTGTTTATTTTGTAAGTAATTTTTAAAAACCAAACATCATTTGGATAAATCAGATTCTCGGGAAGGTGAAGCTCTGAGCATTATCCTTCACTTTTAAAACACACTCGGGTTTGATGTTTGTTTGGAAGGTGTCAATGATAGGAGTATTGAAGCAGAGTGTCGTTGTGAAAGCCAGCCCTAAGATTCTGGCCATTATCCAAGTCATTAGTGTCTAAATAACTGAATCTGCTGCAAAGGCCCTGAAAACAAGTGAAAGGCTGGAAGTTGAGTCTCACGCATTTCTCTGATACACCACACTTTTTCAGGGCGCCCCTCTTATTCCTTTCACTGAGTTAACTTGGCACCTTACCTCCTCATCTCTTTCTGACTCTTGACCAGCCTCCTGGTCTCCTGTGA